TGACTGGTGAAATGAAAGAAATGGTAGTCCCTGTATCTATCAGATCTTGAACGTCCCGGTTACCAATAATGACGGAAAATGTAAAGTAGTAAACTGAGGGCGAAGTATCCAAGGGAGTAGAAGGCGGGAGGGTTGTGTCCACAGTGTCGTGCCCGGGGGCCGGAGACAGCGCAGTAGGGGCATCCGGGATTGTGGTTAGGAAAGTGGATGTGGAGGCTTTATTTCGCTTGTGCGAGAAGAGCTGGACGTTGGGCGGTCGTCGCTGGAAGGACTGGATGGGAAGCCTCATCTGGCAGACAGACAAAGTCTATTCAATGTGACTCAACAGACATCCAGTTCTGGTCCGACATTGTAGAAGCAATAGGGGTGGTACTAAGCTGTTTATTGTTAACACAATAGGGAATGATCTAGGAGAAGGGTAAACCAGAAACGATATAAAACAAATCGAAAACGACCGGCGATATGAAACTTGCGAAAAAACGGTAAGCATGTTATAAAAATACGGAGGAATGTACGAAACTGAAAAAGGTGTGGATCGGCTTATCGAATAATTGTAAAATGTAAAAAGATACAAAAATGGTAGAAACTCGATACAAACGGTACAAAAATAAGGAAAAACTTTCGAACAATGCGAAAAGAAATCAAGGCAAGTCGGCGAGCGATAAGATGGTATCACATAAGGGGATCTGAAAAGTTAAGACGGCCGGGTCAGTCGATTCAAACAAGTATGGTTCAGGGTTGTTCATTACATAGCTCCCCTCATAAGATGCAGCACTGCCTTCAGTGCTGGTATCGACTAAGGGGAGGATACAGCGACCTCTATGGCAACAAGAGGGACATGATCAAGGGAAAAGATGGGGAGGGAGTCGGGGATGCAAAGGGGGAGCTGGCCCCAATAAGGTTTGATTTTGTCGAAGTGAGCCGTGAAAGGGGGTCTGCGGCGTTACGAAGGAGTAAGGTGGTAGAAGGGGTGAAATTAATCACAGTAAAGGGGCCGATCCAAGGGTAATTGAACTTAGCGGAATTTCCACGGCGTTAGGAGGGGTTGGATAGATGGCAAGGTTGCCAAGTTGGTAAGGGATGCCGGACAGGCCGGACAGGTCTTTCTGGTGACTGGCGGAAATACCGAGTGTACAACGTGCAACGTTGTGGGCGCAGCCCTGGGTA